AATCATCTATATACAACCTAAATGTAATTGGTTTTCATTTTGGTCTAATGTTCTTATATTCTAAGTGATACTATGTGTTTTACTTGAAAATTCCCAAGTATATCACAGTGATCAGTGGCAATTAGCACATGACTAACGAGTATTTATCCCGCCATGGTTATTGATTTGAAAATACAATAAAACTTCAACCGGCTGTTTTTTGAACTACAAAATGATACACAATTATTTAGTTAAATTGGATGAAAAGAGATATAGAGGACATGATTTCCATCGTGTTTTTTTTTCATATCATGTGTGTATGAGTGCATTGATGAAGAAGGATTCAAGATTTAATGTAAAACAGTCGACGAATATTTTCGCGGTGCAATAGATTATCCTTATCGATTGTAAAATAGAGAACAGTGTGGTTCAGTGGTGGTAGTGTGTGTAGTTATGACATGGGGTGATACTGATCCGTGTAATTGAAGCGAAGTCATTAGTCCTCTGAAGTTTATAATTCCTTCCTCTCTACTTGATGAATCTGAACGCCAGATGACTAGTGTTTATCGAATTTCACTCGTCATCACGCATTGAGAATTATTCATTGCAGTTTGTGATTATTAGAAGTCAGACATTCGTTTGCTTACCTTATCATTCACCTGTCCCGAATTATTTACTTCACATTCCACAAAAAAAAATTCACTTGAAAACGAATCACAGCAACAGAAACTCATGCTCCTATAAGTAAAACCATATATTTTTTTTGCCACAGACAGAAAAAAAAACAATGTAGAAATATTGTCAATGTGATTAGTGAAGTTTGTTGCTGGGCTCGAACAACAACAAGTTGTTATCGTGTTTGTTTCATTCGACCAGATCAACATGGACACGCCACCATCTGTGAACTTATTTACATTGGACATAAAAAAAAATTAATTGTCATTTATTATGGCATTATTCACTGTTTTAATAGTAATAGTAATAATAATAATCAACACTGATTGATTTATTTGAGTTATAATGACTGTCAAAGGCTTGGTTATGCGAGGGAAAATAAAAAAGGTAACAAACACACATAGAAAAAAAAGGACTATTCATTCCGATCCGTTGTTATCGTGGAATTCTCTTCTCTACCACACCACCCCACTCCGCACCCACTCCGCACCCACCCAGCCTTCGCTATCTCTTTCTGATTTGTTTTTTGTTTGAATGTACATATATAAGCAAACACACACTTTTACGCTTAATTATCGTGTGCAGAGAAATCCAATCAATCCAACTAAGCATATTTTCAATTGGTATTTGTGAATTAAATGAGGCTTGTTCAATGAAATGTATAGCTAGTTAAATTCGGCCAGTTAGTTAATCAATCTGTTGACTGACTGGATATTCAATCACTTGACTTGACAACAACCTTATAAACAAAATGGCAAAACTTTTTCTGTTATTTTTCTGTATCTCTCTCTCTTTTTTTTTTGTTACTTATCATCAGTGTTGGTATTAACAGCTTTTTTTTCGCTCATTGTAAACAGAATAATAGGTAATGATTTTACAATGATGATGATGATGATGATTTAACAGATAATGACTGACCTAGTGGAATTAATCAACAAATGGATTGAACTAATTAAAACATCCTGTTCATGCCGAGCTTTCTGTATTCATTGAGAACTCATGCTAGACCAGCATAAAGAAGAAGAAACCCGGAAGCACCGGACCACCGTTTCGTCCTAGTAAGGGGGGCATCAGCAATGGGCATCCACGTGCCCCACACAGAGGGAGTTGAACTCAGGACCTCCAGTTTCGCGCGCAAACGCTTCACGTCTAGACTACTGAGCTGGCATCCAGTGACAAGCCGTGACCAGTGGGCTTCCACCCTGTCGGGTATGAGGAAGTTATCCACTGAAGACAATGGATGATGTCGCACAATATCGTTGATTCATCGAAGTTAAACTTTAACACCACTGAATGCCGGCTTCGTGGTCTAGAGGTGTAGCGTTCGTGCGTAAGATCGGTGGTCCTGGATCCGATCCGGTGGTAGATGCGCACAGCTGATGAGTCCTGTGTTATAATGAAACAGTCGTCCAGTGCTTTCGGGCTTCTTTCTTATGGTCGTCTAACACTGATTGATTCATGACTGCAATGAAACTCAACAATCTCCACAAACCCTCTGGTGAAAATTTAAGCATTCATCTGTTTAAATTACTAGATTTGTTTTTCTTCAAATGTTCGACAAAATGGTTTTGAACAAGTTAACTAATTTTGTTGAACCAGAAAAGAAATTACCGAATTTCTATGTATGAAGACACTATAAACAAGCATATTTCAATGCAGTAAAATGAGTTAGTGAAAAGTTGTTAATAGAAAAGGAATCGATGTGCGACATGACATACCGAAAGATTTCTTAGACATTACTTAATAATGCAGGGAATTACAGGCAGTTAATCAGTGTTTTAATCAGTTCACTACTCCATAGACATGTTAATCAAATAGGATATGAAGTAATCAGTTATTTGTTTTGCGTTTGTATAAAAATCAAGCCTATGTTAAAGTTGGTTTCATTATGAAGCTAATGCTAAAGACTTGCTTTCAACTACCAAAAAATTTGAAAGTAAGATTCCTTAATGCTTTTGGCAATTAATCAATATTTTCGAATCATGCAGTAAATTGGTGAAAAAAATCAAGGATTTTGTATGATTTTGTTGAGAAAATGAACTTACGCTTCGTGTTTTCCAGTTCAGTATAACATACATGATAATTGAGTAGGTTAGGTGAACTTGGAGTGCCATTTGAGCTAAGTTAAAACTTTCAGTCAACTCAGACAACTGGCATTGACCATCAATTCTTCATCTTCACATTGATCGTGATTTGTTTTTTTAAAAAAAAGAAATTAATTGACATGATTGACAATTATCGTTTATTTTTAAGTCTTATTTTATAAAGCGTTCGTTTAGATAATTCAATTGAATAAGATTTCCTTATGGCTAAATTTCAATAAAAAAACTAAATTGTTTTTTCATACTTCACTGTAGGATGCCTATTCTCTGATGTAGCAAATAAATGATCTCTGACCAAGAATGGCTACATGCATTTATGATGAAGGCAATATAAATAACATTTTGATATTATATATGTAAATATAAATATATATAAATAATTATTAATTTTATTAGTCAAACAAACAATGTACACATTATTTTTAATTTAACACTTCTTGAATGAATGTGTTACATTTTTCGATTAAAAAAAAAAGAGATGAGATGAGTTTTTTCAAAAAACAACATAATTTATGATCATTTTTGTTATTCTCTATAGTTGTTTTTTGTTCTTTGCTTAACTTAAGATAGAACATCATTATTTCTATGAGAATGTTAGAAGAATTCATAAATTATCAAAGTATCCCTTTTTTTGTTTGTTCTGAATTAAATTGAATTAAGTCTTGTAGCAGAAACCGCAAGCGATAGACAGTGCATATGAGACAGAGAGAGAGAGAGAGAGAGAGAGGAATCAACTTGTGAGACAAGAAATAAGTGTTAATTAGAACTTCTTTCCAATGTTATTTTGTGATATTTATTTCTCATCATAAATTAAAAGGTGAAAACTGGGGCAAAAATAAAAAAAAAACAGAGAGAGAATATAATTTCTTCAAAAATTGTTAGTTTTCACTTTGAGATTTAATGCACAAGTGTTGAAAAAAAAAAACTGTTACTTATAAAACTGTTGATTGATGCGAGTGGAATAGAAATCTGTCACTGTACAGGAGAGAATATGTCCGGCGGTATTTTAGCACTAAGAATAACAAACAGTAAACTAGACAAGAAAACAAATTCATCAAGTATATTGTTACATAATTAGCTCTTGTAGTTAATCAACTTTATTCCTTCTACATTTTTTCTCTGCATCAGTTCCAATCAACTCATACAGGATATTATCGCACTCGATCAAAAGTCAACAGAGACTGACTCTAGCGGAGTAGCAACCAGAGGAAAGGAGTGTTATGGTTAAGTTTGATTTTTGGAAACATTTATATAAGAGGCTAGGAGGTATACAACAGCAATCAATCAAAATCGAGGTTAGCAGAACAAGCTAAGGGGTCAGACATGGGGAAATTCGAATGCTTCACTCCTATCTGAAGTTTGTGCTGCTGATGATGTTGTTGTTCAGAAGAAGAACAATGAAAGTTCCACAACCAAAACATCCAGCTCAGGGAACCAAATACCACCACTATACAACTAACATTAAATTACTCGGGTGAATGAGGTGATTGAACATAATTTTCTGATAGAACTAACATGCGAATTCCAACTGAAGACGAAATATTCAACTAAGCCAGTCTGACTATGAATTACTCATCAGATAACTAGTAGTTAATCAGTTATAAACCTGAGAACTGACTGAAAACAACTAACGAGTACTCCTATTCATTAAATCAGAATACTTTCTATTCATAGTGAGTGAAATGAGAATAGATCTACAACGTTCAATGTACTGTTTTTGTCCAAAGGGAATTTCCAGTTGTCGTTGTGCTAAAATTACATATTTATACATTCCATCTATTGAAGAGATCACATCTGCTTTTACATATGAAAAATGGTTCATTTATACGTCATGTCATGGAACTCCATAAAATCTGAACAAATTTATCTATTGAAATCTAACGAAACTTAGTTTCCGCACCAGAATAGTTCAATTAGAATTTGAGATTTTCACTGAGCAAAATAAAAAGCTATTGTACAAAACAATCACTTATGCTGCTTGACGATTTATAGTTTATTAGTATTGTACTCCAAAATCTTCATGCATAAATCCGGTTATCAATTGAAAAGTATAATATGTTCAGAAAAAAAAAGATAAATTCCTGGCACATTTTTTCATTTTTATCCTATAAATCATTGATTATTCTGCGCTGTTCTATGTGAAGACTTTTGTATTTTATTGTGTAGACTACTTTTTCTGTTATGTGATCAATTTTCAATCAATGTTCTCTCTTACCGTTCTTTTTTTTTTGTTTATTTTGACAGGAATGTCAGAATTCACTTACAGAAGATCTTTCACTAATGTTAAATTTCCCTGACTCGATTTCCGATGGTAATCAATCGTCGTCAAATCATTCATTGAATCATAACCATAATATTTTACAACAAACTGATGAATTAAAAACCAGCTTAACTTACACAATCGATCGTATTTTGTTGTCGGAACAACAAGAATCACCGAGCGCGGATTCATTGTTAAGTGTATCGAATCATTTAACAAATACACTGACAGATTCACACAATCAGAATACTACAAATCAATTTCATTCTGATAAGTTGGATAATGGAAATCAAAGTTTGGTGAATAATGAATGGTTTTCTACTGATCAATTTATGATTAGTTCTTATTCTGTTAATAATTCTAAGCCAACAACAACAACAACTTCATCATCATCATCATCTTTATTACCTGAACTTTCTTCTTCGTCTTCTACATCATGCTCACAAAATGGATTTCAATTTTGGTTTGATATATTTTATAAATTATGGCTAGAACAATTGAATCATGTTCAATCAAAACCCATTGATTTCAGTCAGTCAATGTCAGACAAGAGGAGTTCAGAGAAATCAGATGAACTTCAGATGAAGTCATTTCCATTTGGTAATACTAATGTGGATAACGGTTGTGAGACAAGAGCTGATCATTTTCTGTTTAATTCCTCAGCACATCCCTCAGTGAATACATCGATTAATAGTCGAACATTAGAAAATTTTACAGAAAATCTCTTTATACTACCATCTCATATGAAAGAGAATTCTTATCATCGATCAGATTCATTATCGTTAACTACTAATTCTACATTGTCCCCACAATCATGTTGTGTGACAAATGATGTCTGCAGTAATAAATTTCAACAAAACGATCATTTGAATGGTGACTCTGAGCACAAACAACAACAACAACAACCTTTGTATGGACTGTATGAAGATTGTGCAAAAAATCTACATACAGTCCATTCTAATGGCCTGAAAAAAGTTTCTCAATCAGTTTCGCAACCTTCTCAGTCAACAACAAATCACAGTCCGAATAAAGATGAATATGATTATTCACATAATTTATTTTCATCGTTTCATCAAATGAATAAAATTACAACTCCTTGCAGTAACCCTTTGATGACAATATTAACCCCTTGTACGAAGCAATTAAATGAACACCAGTATAACTGTTATCCATTACCACCTTCTTCCACTCACTCTCTTCCTTCGCAATCAATACCATCAACCGAATACTCAAAATATTCAGCAAATATTGCACACAAATCGTCGCTTCTATCAAATTATCGATTACATTCAAACTATTCAAGGCTACGTGGGAAATCCATGATCACTGGTAACAATATTTCAAGTGATAACTTACAACAACGTGGCTATCGAGCTTTACCATTCCCGCTGACAAAACGTGATGGTCGTATGCATTATGAATGTAATATATGTCGTAAAACATTTGGCCAATTATCTAATTTAAAAGTGCATTTACGTACACATACAGGTGAAAGACCATTTCGTTGTGATACATGTCATAAAGGTTTTACTCAATTGGCTCATTTACAAAAGCATAATTTAGTGCATACCGGTGAAAAACCACATCAATGTACAGTATGTGGTAAACGTTTTAGTAGTACAAGTAATTTGAAAACACATTTACGATTGCATAGTGGTGAGAAACCATTTGCATGTAAATTATGTACAGCGAAATTTAGTCAATTTATTCATTTGAAATTACATCGACGTTTGCATGCCAACGAAAGACCATTTATCTGTCCAAGATGTCATCATAAATTTCTCGATTCCAAAGGGTTGAAACAACACTGGCGACGAGGAATTTGTTATTCATGTGAAGAATTACCTCCAGGTAATTGGAGTGATATGGATGGTGAGGAGGATACTGTTGAAATGCAAGTCAGAAAAGCGCCTTCTTCAGTAAGTCCTAGTAATAATCATCGGCAACAGAAACACAAACGTTCAAACAGAATTTGTGATGCAAACACTACGGATGGTAGTGATACTAATCAAATTACTTCTAGTACAACGGATAAAGCAATCAATAAAAGACGCCATTTTTCTACAAATATAATTCCAATGTATATAACACCATAAAGAGGAGAGTGAGAATTTGGACGCTCAGTGTCTACGAGTGGTGCTTATAGGGAAGATGATCGTGGATGAATACTTCAAAAAAAACAGATTGTTAATTTACACCAACATTTCAAAGCATACTGGTACACCCTTTTCAAATTATGGCTGTGTGTAACATAATGTGACCCTTATTATATTTTCAATGCTTGAACAGAAAATTTAAACTTTTCCCAATTTTTTCCAAATATATTCAATAGGTAAACATCTATCCTGTATATTGTTGTTCAAATGTGCACAAACGTGTGCGTTCAGTGTATCATAAACGGAGTGAAATATATATCGTTCGTTATATTTTGTTAAATGATTGTGCTGATTTCAGAATTTCCAAAGAAAAAATAAAACTTGTGAATTATGCAATAGCGGAATAGTGGAAAAAAATATAAAAGATTTAGAAGAAAATAAAGTGAACCCAGTTAGTATGGCTACAGATGTCTGAGGTCTCAGTGAGACTTCAGGATATTTAATCTTTTCAAAGATTATGAATGTATGATTGTTTGTCCATAGAGCAAAACACATAAAAAGGAAATATTTAATGGAGATATTAGCCAAAATATGAGACGAAATCTACACGATTCTCGGAACAGTTTGAACTATTCCACTCAAGATTGAGTCGACCGTTATAGTGTATGCTTATAGCAGCCATATTAGCTATCTATTTTTCTCTGATATAAAATTCCCGGCGAAATTACTATCTATGCGGTTTCATTATAAACGAATAGGAATCAAAACCCAGTGACCAAGAAATATATGTAATTTTTAGATGTCGTTTACTCTTTTAGTGATGATAAGTCTTCACTGATACCTCTGATCTGTTCGCTTATCACTCACCAACAACTATATTAATTCCATACTAGAGAATTCCAATACACCAGTCCGACTTTTTCATTTTCAGTTACTTCAATTCCTATAGTTTAGACGTGAGTAACCAGTAGTCTCACGAAGCAGTCTAACAAAATCATCGGTTATAAACGGCATTCAACTAATTCTAGCATTCTTAAACAAAATTTCTACAATATCTTGCTTTTCTTTAGCATCTTTGTCGCATGTGTAATCTAGAGTTAAAAATTAGTCGACAGAAAAGTTATTCTTAAAATGACATTTGTAGAGAAACATATCGGTGTTCACAATGAACAGAGCTCAGTGATCAATAAAAATGACGAATTTCACCAGCCTGAAAACCGAATAGTCTTCAAAATTGTTACATAATGCTTCTGTAGAATAAGTCCACTGGTATCTTCATTCATGATCATCGTATAGGTTTTTAACAAGTTTATATTTCAGTAGCCTTAACGCTTGATCATCCTTCTACTCCCAAGAATAAATATGAGCATAGAGCACTGTAGATTATTAGTCGTCCTGTTAGTCTAAGTTGTTGTCCAATGAAATTCAAATTCCAATTTAAGAGAGTTCCTGAGTCGATTAAACACGGAAATAAGATATGACTCTGGAAAGCAGAGTTTCGTGCTGAAGCCGAACCCACAATTTTTCGCATCCCAACTGAACTCTTAGAGGTATACAAACCTGACTCCCCAATCAATTTTTGCAATATTTCTCGACCGTATTCTATTATCTTCAATGGGGGGTACCTTTCTCACAGCCAACAAGATTGTTATTGAAACAGTAAATCTTCATAATCCTGTATTCGATTTCAATGACGTTCGTACTGTTTTGCACCAGTGGTTGTTTACCTGGTAATTCTCAAGCGTTTTAAATGCGAGCCAAAACTTATGGCCAAAATTGACAGGAAATGCGAAATTTTCCAGGTGTATAAAAATGCAATCTAAAACGCTCAGTTTTAGTGGATTGAGGAGTATATAATCACTTCGTTTGAATGTATTTTCATCGCATATTAGTTATCGGTAAAAAAAAAATTGAAGCGTACTACTAGTTGACACATTGTACAGATAGCGTGTACATCTAGTGCTATGCATTATAACCTGACAAAGAACAGTGTTTATGTTGAAATAATGGATTTACAGGGACGATATGTTTCCATCTGTTAAATGTCTAAAATACCAATCAACAGACCTATTCAAGGATGTATACCCTGAAGAGTGGATTTAATGGGTTGCTTTTACAGTCATACGTTTGCCCACTTCAGGAATTAAAGCTGCGTTCAAAACTACGCCAGCCTTTAAGTTACCAGGCTCTGGTTGAATGTTTAAAGTAATTCTAAACGGCTAATCTTTAGTTACATCATGCATTAAACTTCTTTACTTATTATGTGGTTGTCCTACCAAATGACCTAATTCGTATAGCAAGAAATACATTCTATAGAAGACTTTCGGTAATTGTCAATAGACTCTACAATGTTTATATTTAAAAATTCTCCAATTTATGATTCTATGATTGAATTTCGATAATCGATAATGAGAAAATAGATTTTAAATTGTAAATCAAAACCTAAACTGATAAATTAATTAAGATCATTTAGTCTGTCTATCGTAAATCACTTTTACACATCTGCTTGACTGAACTGTAAGTTTAATCAAACACAAAGTTAATAAATTAATAAAATGTCTCGCATCAAACATTAAGTCGTACACATTCAATTTAAAAAAAAAGCGCAGATTTTATGTCTTAACAACATTGAAACATTTATCATTATTTTTGCATTTTTTCGCTAACAAATAACCATTTTTGAAATGGTTATTGTCAATAATAATCCTATGATGATCATCTGGTTGGTTATTCGGTCAGTCAAGTTAACTTGTTCAACAAAATGCGGGTTAATAAGACAGTCGCTATTGTTGTTGTTGTTGTTAATAACGATAGGTAATTATTAATTAATGACTTACTTGATGAGTTTATCAAACTTTCATCGATTCTTCTCTCAATGTTAAGAAAATGAACGCGCGAAAGCAATGAAAAAGAAAAAAAATGAGAGAAGGGTTACGTAATCAAGTCAATTAGTTATGGACTCTGGTGTTGATGATGACGGTGATGATGACGAGAACAGAATGTTATGTGTTTACTTCAAAGACAAACACTTTATCACCAAGTGATCAGACATCAAAGCGTTGTTAAATTTGTCTTTCTTTCATTGAACAACGATCATTTAAAGGAGCCGAGCAACAGTTAACCACCAATGTGAATGATCATTAAATCAGTCAAGTGTGAACATTTTGAATGTAAGCTTAGACAATAAATTAACCTCCCTAAGAGAATCAATCATCTCAAGGGTGGTCCATACAAACACCCGAATCTGATTCTATATAGTACCTGTAGTCGAATAGGTTAAAATGTTGAAAATAACTGTTATTAAATTCATTTCGAGTTGTGAATCTATTCGAATGTCCTAAAAATATTAGTTTTTTAAGTGAGAAGATGAAATGATGCGAATCAGTTGGTAGGGATGGTCAAGGTGACTGACGTGCCTTACATTTGTGCACCCACTGATTAGGAAAGTCTCCTTGATATTTCACATAATACATCGTCAAGACATTTCAAGACATTTACTTAACTATCATTTACAGTTGCAAGTACTATAGCAGTGTTATTCAGGCTCGAAAAGGTTATGGTTTGAATTGATTAGTTATATCAATCAGTGTTCGGTGCAAACAATCATGTTAGAGCTATAATTATCGAAACAAATTGATAAAACGTATTCAGTGTTGAAGAGTATTGGTGGCTCGCAATTCAACATTTGAAGATTATGTATTATCACCTAACTGCGCCACAGGACAAGCCCTCACTTGAGACCCTCAAGGTCAAAGGAGAGGAGGAAGGCCAAGGAACACATTACGCCGAGAAATAGAGAAAGATATGAGAAAAATGAACAAAAAATAGCAAAAAGTGGAAAGGGAAGCCCAGGACAGAGTTGGTTGGGAGAATACTGGTGGGCGGCCTATGCTCCATTGTGGGTAACAGGCGTAAGTAAGTAAGTAAGTAGTTTTCAGAAGCGAAAATATCATGCACTGTGCTGGTGAATACAAAATAATACCGAACCTTATTGACCTAGTAGTTGATCCCTAATTCTTTTTTTGTAATTGGAGCTTCTAGTAAAAATTTACTACCACGCTGCTTAGTATAAAGTTTTATCAAGCATAAAACAAAGTTCCCATTGTTCACCTTAGAGTTTTTCATCCCTGATAAATGTAGATATTTCTTTATTGAAAACTGAAAGGATTCAAAAAAAACCCAATGAAAAGCCAACTGCCGTCAGTCAGACCCCAGTCGTCAATATAGTAGTCAGGAAAACTGGGAGCTGACCCTAGTTTCCTTATCCCCTAATTAGCACAGTGACAATGAAAAGTAACAAGAAAGAAAGGAAATATAGTTCGGTCAAAATTAGTATTGGAGGGAAACAAAACATCACTCCGTAATAAAACGAATGAAATTGATTGATGCAAAGTATGGTTACTAGAATAAAACCATGAATGACTGACTGACTAGATAGCCCAATGCTGAAACCTATTTTGAACCAATTTGGTGTAAGGTCTTCAACCGAAAATGAACGAATTAGATTTTTTTTAAATTCATGACTGTTCAATAAAACAACTCGTTGACTTCGTAAAAGATTCGAAAACAGCTTTCCTGTTTTTGTTGTAAACATAGTGTTATCCAAAATCGCTTCATAGTTGCTACTTTATACTGTGTCTTTTTTCTCAATATCTAGGATATACAAATATTAAAAACTTCCTGTATGGATACCAGGTAGGAAGTTGACAACTACTTTATCAGGCTTTTAGTAGATTTGAGTACATGGACTGAATATTCAGTCTCCTAGGTAGTATAGAATGGTATTAGAAAGGTTAAATATTTCATATAATGTTCAGCCTTCATTTTTATATAACTGAATCCACAAAGATCCTAAAAAAAGATAATCAGAATTCCTTATTTACCTAGAAATGAATTCGCCAAGTAGAAATTCAAGTACAATTCAATGGTGATGTTGATTTTTTTTGAATAAACATAATGTATCCATAACAGCATCAGTTTTGACAAGTGGTGAAATTCCACAGACCACAATCTAATATTTATTAGCTTAAATACCGATGATCTGTTAATTGAAATGAGCATGAGAAACAACGATATAAATAAACTGTATGGTGATAGTAACGTAGAATAAACATAATTACATTGAAATAAAAGTATGAAAAATAATTAGGCATGAATTCGTAGAACTTTTCGCTTCCTTCTGCTGTAGATTTCATAATGACTTTCAAACTACTTTGACACTCAAATAACTTAGCATGGAGCTCAATTTAGGACTATTTCTTGTCTCAAGCCCCATAGTAAAAGAATGGGAGTCGGGTGTATGGTTAGTAAAATCTCGAGAAAAA